AGGGAACGGCGGCGCCGGTGAATTTTGGATAAGGGCTTGTGCTTTGTAAATGTTATGGTTCTTAGCGTAATGCGACCTCGGACTTTTTTTGGTTAACACAGTGTAAATGCACATTTTTGTTACGGGCTGACATGATCTCCTCACAGGTGGCCTCTACCTCTAATGAGCGGTCCCTCGTTAACGCTTTTGAGATTCCTGTGTAGTTAAAACGTTTATGCCAAGAGAAATGTTTGAAATATGTAAGGAAAGATCATTCTTTGGCAAAAGACCTCAGTCCTGAAGTTTATTGCTGTTGCTTTGTGAGATTTGTGTTAAAATGAACTTTTTTTTTTTCCCAGGTCTTCTGTAATCAATGGCTTTAAAGTCATTAGCTTTATATTCTCTTCTTTACAAAAGTATAGGAAGTTGCATATATTTTTTCCTGTATTTATTAAGCATTTAATTTTGATTAAGCCTGGCTACATAATCCCATGGGGTTTGGTTATGGGTATGATTTTTGTCATAACTTGCTTTCCAGGTTAAAGAGCTTCACAAGCTTCAAGTCAAAATGAAAAATATCAACTTGAAAGGAAACGTAGAAACTGTGGATATTAGCGACCTGGATACAGCAATTGAAAGAACTGAACTTGGGCTGAGAGTAAGTAAAATGGAGTAGATCCAGGAGATGATTCAGTTTTTGAGACCTCTGTTAGTAATTCACTTAGAGCACACAGGGCCATGAATTTGTCATCCTGCAAGATCCCGTGCTGATTAGCAAATGATGGGATTCATCAGATGTTACAGTTCAGAACCATGGCTTCTTTTTTTGGGCTGTCAGGTTAACTGATCTTGTGCCCCATACCACAAGCCAAAATCTCATTTAGTCCAACAGAAGGCAGAAGCCTATCAACTTTTCAGTCAAGTGAAGAACTGCCTTGCTAAATTAACTGAGTTAAATAAATTTAATATTCCTCGTGTTTTTGTAATAGTCTAAATATTATTTTTTCCCCTCTAACAGAAACATGCTGAAAATTACTTAAATGCTATAAGCAGACAAGTGTTAACTATTTCTTCTACTAATAATAAAGAAGTGCATTCAAAAGAGCCCCCTAAATGGTAAGTGAAACTGCTGTTTTATTGCAGAGAGAATGCAGGTGGCAAGACAGAAAAACTGTAGTGTCAGAATTTTGTAAAGCAAATGGGAATATTGGCCCAGATGAGGTTATTTTGGTCATTTGCTATTTTGGTTTTATTTTGTTTAAGATTAAAAAAAATACAAAATTAAATGCAGTTCTAAGTAGCTACAGCAACCTTCTGCTAGGTCCTGCGATTTTTTTTTTCACTAAATGCAAATTTAAATAAAAATATAGTCTTTCAGAATCAATAAGGTGGAAGCAGTATAGGTTTAATAAGTAAAATCAAAGTAATTTTAAGAAACCTCACTGTTTGTTTCTTTCTAAATCAGGGGCCTTCATTTTGGTGCTTCTCAGAAACAGCTTATTTTACCACGAGTACCTGTTGAGCCCGTGACTGTCCAGGCATACAGCAAATCAGCACTACACATTTCTCAAAGTTCACAGGTCTGAAATAACATACTAATTCTTCCAGAGACCTCACTAAATGAGTAGGCTGGTGTTTGTAGGTTACCAGTTGATCCCATAATGTTATGTTCTGACCCACATAGATTCAGTTTTTGATAATATACCATCTGTGACTGGAAGTGTTAAAAAATTCTCAGTAGAATGAGCAGGCAGAGAGTTGGGACCCTTCTTCCAGCCTCACAGTCCACATAAAATCTAAGTTAGCTTAAGGACTTCAGTGTCATCATGGGTACATCCACAAGCCTTCGTTTCTTTATTCCCCAACCCCAAGTATATTGTTAAAGTGTTCTGAAACCACATGTTTGTTCAGCTTTAAGGTCCCAGTCCTGCAAATACTTGCAGAATCACAGTTAAGCATACAGTAACGTGTCTAAAATAAATGGAACTATATCTTGGAATAGCATGAGCACAGATATAAATGTTTATGTTGGAGACTAAAAGTGCTGCTTCTTTTTGGTTTTTTTAGCATAAAATATATGGCAAATTGTGGGAAAGACTTCTGTTCATGTATAGGGTAGTCACCTCTATGATAAGTATAGGTTTTCTCCTTGAAATATGATTTTTTCGCTCCTTTTATAAAGGAAATAATTTGTAAAATAATTTAAAGCCTTCTTAAAATGTTTGTATCTGAAGTATTTTTGCTTTTCCATTCTAAGCTGTGGATTTTGACTTGTGAGTTCACGGTTGTTTCCTCAAATGTATTTTCCAACCAAATGACAGTAATTCATTGAATTGAAAAATACCCATTGTTACAATTTTGAGTTATTACTGTTTCAATTCAAGGAAGCTTTGGATGAGAGAGAATGTGAAGAAGAGGCTGTCTGTAGTAATAAGACTGTTACCAGAAGCTAGGGATTGAAGCTACTTGAAATGGTATAACCAGAATGAGCAGCCTAACACTTACATTGCTGATCTTTGTCAAAGAAATCCTAGTATAAAGTAGTATTAAAATATTGCTTACTCTTGAAATGATGGATAAGGTGCAATGAGATCTCTGTTTGGGTTTGTTTTTTTTTCCAGACAGTATTCCAGTCCTGTCCTATATGAATACACTTATATTGTGAGGGAAAAAAAAATGATTATCAGAGTTCAGCTACTCTGTAAACTCTGTATTGTCTATAGTCTTTCAACTCTTCATGTGCACCAATGAGCTTAATTTACAGTGGAGCACATGCTCTGTCCTGCCTTGACTTTCTCTTTGTCTTTCCATTTCTGGTATCTACGGCATCTGCTTGGAAATGCATATCCAGTGACACACGAGCTAGCCCTAATTTCCCATTATAAAGAAAATGGCAAACAGTGCTGTTTTGCCAGCTGTTCTACATGCCCAGCATGCCAACATAAAAAGCTTTTATTATTAAATAGTTGTGAAATCCAGCTGGGAAATTATCACCTACAATTCCTTACTTCCTGTCTTTTCCTTACTTGTAGCTATAAACAGTTTTGGGTTTTTTAAGCATACTTTGGTGTTTTTCAAAATTCCTTTCCACTCAAAGGAAATATTAGTGGACTGAATAGCTTTCTGTTCATAGACAGTATTTCTGGGTATGTAGGCTTGAAGAAATCAATGTTTCAACTCGTAGTGCTTCTGAGAGGAATTAATAATTCACAGTATTTTTGTGCTTTGCAGTCCATAGTGCACCGTGCAAGAGAAGAAATGGAGCATAAGTTGTGTTTGTAGTAATTAGGATGAAACAAGGTCGGAGTCAAATAAGCACAGATGCTGTTTTCACATAAGTATTGCTAGAATATTTGTCATATGAGTAATAGCTTGCCCACAGGTGTCAGAATAGGCTTAAAATTATGGTTTACTCACACATACAGTATTTCTGTATCAGCAGCCAGATAAGACTCTGCAAATCTAGCTCATAGGGGGAATTGTGAAGCGCTGTCCCCTTTCCCCCCCACACCCTTGTGTTGTAACTGGATTTCTTCTTCTACTAAAGCTTGAGAACCATAAAGAGGTCTCTTCTTCATACAGTAATTGTAAAGCCTCTGTATAGCAATGGTTGAAAAGACATTGCTATCCATAACTGGTAGGTCTATAAGTTCAATTATTTATTTTTGTTTTTAAAAACCATGCTTAACTGAAAATACCTGAACTGATGCTGTGCAGCTTTGTTTGGGGATTTTTTTGTTTGTTTTTTCTAAAAGTTGATACTTTCTGTGACATTCTGAATACACAGTAGAAGTTAATATTCTCTCATTATTAATAGAGTTAAAGATGTAAGTGAAAAGATATGTCTAAGGGGCTCTAGAATATGCAGATCACATAAATAGCTAGACATGAGAAGTGGTTTAGTTACTGATCATACAGATTGTTTCAAAGATTAATATAATGTAGTGCATTCATAAAGGAATTGGACTCTATTAGAAACCATGCGCCACATGCATCTGCAAAATAGAATTACAGAGTGAATCAGATTTATTGGCTTACTACATGATAAAAATCCTCTCCACTCTGAAATGACTTTTGTATTGAAGCAGAACAAGATTTGAACCATTTAACTGTACTGAACATGTCAACCCATTCTGCATACTCCAGCATACTCCACGTTAATAATTGAGCACAATAATTCACATTCTCATTGAGCGTTTTATTAGTAATAATGCAATATTTGACCTGCTATTCTCATCTTTTTCTTGTTCTACATCAAGACGGTTCAAGGTAACTGAAATTTTAGACATTGGGTAATACAGATTGATGGATAATGTAGATGGAAGAGACCCATGATACCATCTGCATCAGCTCCTAGAAATGTAGAATTGTCACTTGCTGTACATCTAAGCTGAGAAAGTAACTTCTATCAGGTTTTGTTTATGAAGCATTTCAATTCTTGTTATCCTGAGTGGAATCTGCTACTCCAGCGTTGATCATTTCACTATAAGTCTGAGTGGGGAGTCTGCATTGTGAATCATCTCCTATTTTAATTGAGAAGGTACTCAATTTTCCCCCAGTTCTTGTTTAATAGCACAAGCAGTTTCCTTTCTGTACAGTGGTGTGTTACAGTAATAAAATAAATACCACAAAATCACTGATGAGGTGAAAATTGAACTTTCTGTCTCTGTGCAGCCATGTGGGTAAAAGAGTAATTGGCTTGGATAATAACTTTTGTTCTTACAAACCCAAACCTAAATGAGCATCTCGTTGATACATCTGCTTGTAATTACTATCAAAAGAAGAGAATGTATTGTGCAGATAAATAAATTAAACCATTTTTAGTGCTTTCACAAAGTAATACAATTGTTTAATAGTTCAAGTATACTTCTAATGATTCTTAGACTTCTTATGGCATATTTTGTTTGTCAAAAATAGAGTTCTCATGAATTTATTTTTTATGTTTAGGCAATAGAAATATCAGCAGAGAGTTCTTGTGTATAAATATGTTTAGTTGGATCTTACTATGTAAGGGAACTTCTTTTTATTCCTGAATCCATGTAAGGGGAATTAAGCATGTAGACTGCCGGGTCCCCAGCTCCTCTGAATTACCTTAGCTCTGTTCACTTCTCTGATGAGACGTTACTTTCTGCCATTGGAGGATTCTTCCTTATTCAGCATTGGTTGGTAAATAAACCCTGTTGGATGCAGTGTCTAGTTAGCGGTGTTATAGCAATAAAAGTATTGGGAGATACAACTACACTTGTTACAGACCCAGGTGTAAACTAAAGCACATGAATTAAGATGAGCCAAAATGTTTTCAACTTAAGAAACTTCTTCTGTAGTAAAAATATATGGCATCACTTCTGGCTTTTATAGAAAAGTATGTCCTTTAGATACTTTTAATAACAAGATGAAACTTTAAAAGTCTTGTTCTGTCCATCGGGATTTAAATAATAATTTTTCTTAGCAAAATAGTTGAATCGGTTCCATGCAGGTAACATGGTACATTAAGAAACTACTGTTTTAATTTTGATTACTTTAAGGATTTTTTATTTCCTGATTTACTTAAAAGGAAGTGCTCTATCTGCATTGAGTCAATGGGCCATAATCAATCCAAAGAAGCTGTTCTGATCCATCTCCATCAGGTCAATGATTCATGAATTAAAGTCTCTGGCAAACAATGCCAAGGTAGATTGGACTCTTATTATCATCTGTGGGAAGAATGCTCATATGACACGCTCCCAATAGATAGGGTGTGTATAAAACATTTGTTATCACACAGGTAAATAGTACTCACAAGTTACCTATGTTAATCAAGTGAGTCAAACCTGATTGTCATTTCCATTCAAAGTTTAACTCAAAGGTGCACAAATTTGGAAATTTCAGAGTTTGTAATGAAATCGATTGAACAAATTTTAGCAAGGCACGCACCTACTATCCACATATGTGCTTTTGCCAAGTTGTCTGAGGATAGTCAAGTAACATGAATTTTTATCATAATTTTGCAAATTTAGGAACATTAGCCAATTCCTGTGTATAAACACTTCTGTTCTAGTGCAGTTATTTTAAGAATATGCATATTATATATTTCAGCATCAGCTGGAAATGGATATGAAAATTATGTTTGACCCAGAGAGCATCAATAATAAAGCTGTTTTAAAACAACAGAGCTATGAGACCAAGCTGCCACTTATAACTAAGAAAAAAGCTGATCCTGTAAGTAACTTGCATTATCTTATGGGCATTACTTCTCGCTATTGAAGTTAATACATATCAGATCTAAATTAAAAAGACATTAAGTGAAAGTACCTCATAATTTCCTGCTTTTTGATGTTGATATGTAGCAATCAAAACGTTCTGGGTGACAATACTCGGGAACACAAACCTGTAGCATAACAAGTTTAGGTAGCAAGACCCCAGTCCAGCAGAAGTCTAAGTGTACATGGGAATGTGCATGGTAAGTAATCTTGGTAAAATCAGGAAGTGAAAATAAGCAAACTGGCGATTGTGGAGTTTAGGATGTGACCCAAAGGTCAAGGAAGAAGTAAAAGGGGTTTTGCTGACAAGAATGGGCTTTCAGTTGTTCATTCTGTGGCCATTTCTTAAAAAGACGAGAATACATTCTGTTTTCAAATGATAACAGGAATGTTAGGAAAGTGCCTGTACTTTGGTTTAATGCTCTTTTTAATTGATTTTTTCTAAAAAAAAAAAAAAAAAAAAAAAGCAACCCTGCCATGGGATTGCTGACACTGACCAGAAGTTATTGTCACAGAATCAAATAAAATAAGGGTGATACTGAAAGAGAATCAGAATCCTAGAGTGACTACATGAATTTAGGGGTGGTTTGTCTTACTTTTCTGACATGGTTTGGGAGGGAATGTTGGGTTCTACTTCTTAGCTCCCTCCTGGGAGCGCTTCCTTTGGAATGTGAGGGACAGATTCAGATCTTTCCTTTCCATGTCTTAAAGATCCCAAGTGCCCTCACTGACAAGCTACAAGGTATTCTGAAGCACAGCCTTTCTTTTCTTTCTAGTTAAGCTATTTTCCTTAGTGTAAAACAATTATCTACCAAAGCTGGGACTAAGCTCTCCTCAGAGCACTCTGACTGGTATCCACCAAATCGCCCTTCTCTATTCTTCTCTCTGGTCTGAGAATGTCCAAGCTGTGTAAGATTAAGTTTTGATTATTCCAAATTTGTGTTCTGCAGCCACTGCTCCTCTATAACAAATGAACATGAAGATGACGCTTTCTGCAAAGTATGCTTTAAAAAAAATTTAGCAGGCACAGGCATCCCTCCCAAGATCAGTTATGTTCACAAATTTAGCACAGCGATGTGGTCCACATGAAAGAATATGCCCAGTGGTCTCACACAAGGATGCTCTTCTACAATTTAATTTATGTAACAGAAGCATTATGCAGCAAGCCTAGTGCTATGAGAGACATTCTAGGGTATTTGATTTTAAACAACATAAACAGAATCTGTGAATGGCACAGTTGTAAGCTGCCACTTATAAAAAAAATGATTTTTGAAAGCTGTTGCCCAGACTAAGAGGTGATTTGTCTAACCCTGTGATACAGAGTTAATTAGAAAAAAGCATCATGGCTAATAGCTTTTTAGAACCACTCTAAAACACTCACAGAGAGGAATATTATACTGCTGCAGAGAGCCATGTGTTTTACCACTCTCGCTGGAACATACTGATCAGAGAAAACTTCTTAACGTTGACTTAAATTACAAACATTTAGTGTAAATTAGTCAACTCTGATACGTATTTACAGTTGCTAAGGAACTGCTTATGACAGGGAGATGGGCTGAAAAAAAAAAGCAGGTATTTCCTATCTCTAATTTATTTTACAGCATTTACTGAAGTAAATGCTTTTTAGAAGTTTTCGAATCCCATGACACAATCTGTGTTTTTAAATGTTCTAGCTTAGCTGGGGGTAAAATTTTGCAATTAGAGTTGCAAAATCCACTACCGAGATTGTGAATTAAGGCATTTTTGTTAAATGTGTTCTATACCAGCACTAAGAGGAATTATAGTTATAGATCACCAATAGTGACTAAAATAAATCGACATGTAGTTGCTGGTCTAAAATTATATGGCCTTTCATTTAAAAAAAAAATAAATCAATTAAAGTAGCTACAAGAATTAAGCTAGGTGCTACCTACCCTGGTTTTACTAATCAGCCATTAGAGGGCAATATTTGTACGCACACATGCGGGCACACACGCACGCATATATCCATGTACATGCCCTACATATGTACATAAGTTCAAAGATTACCTCTCAAAAAAATCAGTGGCAGAAGGACTCCCATTGAAGTAAATTAAAAACTAATTGCTTGGTTAACTGCATTCAGGTTTTTTCCAAGAGTTGTCAGCATCTGAGTTTTCAAGGTGACCTGGGCATTTAAAAATGTGATGAGATTAAAAACACATTGGTTTTGAGGTGAATAGATAGGTCAAGCACAAATCTACACGGACTTTTTATTATCCTGCTATTTGAGTAGTTTGAAAAATTATTAGTAAGGATCTCATTGTTTCATGAAAAATGTCGTCTGTTCTTGCTCGTTTGATATTATAAAGTTGCTGACACTGGATTTTATGACAGAAACTAAGAACAATTAACTATTGCCCTTTTGTATCTTTTGGGGTCTGATAAGCACTAATGCTTCATCCTCTGTAAAGTTCTGTAGTTATCTTTAAAAGAGGACTGTCATTCTGTTTGAAACACCACGGGCAGACTGGGCATCACTTTATTTTGTAGCCTATATCTAGATAACAAATGAATAATAACGAATAGATAATTATTAAATATGTATTCTTCCCATGGAGTATCCAGCAAAACAAATAGTAATCTGAATTGCAGCAAAAATAATTCTGACGTACTGCTGCAATGTAGAAAAGATTCACAACTATACCTTTCATTTTCATAGGACTGCTGTTCTTTTATAGAATTATACTGGCACTTTTTGGTCCTTGTTTTCTTATAAGTGTATATTATACTGTAAACTTAGGAACCTTTTAATTTATTCATGAGGTAGAATTTAATATGGTGATGATTTCTAGCCTTTATGAGTTGCATCTTATATAGCGTGGCTGTAATGGTGACGGCAGTGATTCTGTGTTGTGGTGGGGTTTTTTTTAAGCTAACTTATTTGAGCACAACCGTTCTAATCATTTCCTCAGTTATTCATTCTTTATTCAGCATTTGCATGATGCTAATCACTGGAAGTTTATTCATTTCCAAAATTATAAACTAAGTCAAAGCAGGCAATTCTTTTCATGTCAAGTGACTAGAAGTTGTAGAAGAAAAACAGGTCTCTTGGTCCTCAAAACCGGATTGTGTTTTAAACCTATGCATATGGCTATAATTACAGTCAAAGCATAATTTGGCAGTGGTAGCAGAATGAGACTTAAACAAATTGATGTTACACTACAGTAATTCAAAATAAGCTTGTTGCATTTGTATTATGGTATGTAATCATATTAAACAGCACAGTGAATTAATAAAATCTTCTTGTCACTGAAAATAAAAAGGAAATAATTGGTGAGATAGAGTTAACTTAACAGATGACTATAGTCAGCATCCTTTCAACCTAGAAATGGGAATGTGAAGGTCACCCCCATCTCAGATGACAAACGTAGAACATTTTGTTGGTAAACAAATTAATCTTTTGAAAGGTCACCATTTGTTTTAAGTTTTTATCCAGTTCTTGTCATCTGGAATTGGAGATTGACTGTCATTTTGCTAGGTAGGGGTGCAGCCGAAGCTGCTGAAGCTGTTTCAGTACATATCAGCATTCCTTGACAAAATTCGCTGCCTGATTGTGATGCTATGGGCTGCTGGTTTACAGCTGTCTCCGGACAAGAATGGAGGCCCACCCCTGAATTCCAATAAGTTGGTCCTGCATATTCTGCCTCGTGTAAGCTGGCCTTTTGCCCACAAGTAAAATGTATTGTAGTTCAAGCCAGCAATTATCTTTCTTACTTCCTTCTGTGCTGCTTCTGTTGCCTTTTTCAAAAAGCAGATGTGGGATTCACCAAAGTTCCCCATCTATTCTCTTTTGCACCTGTTATGGCAGAATTTTGATAGAGGTAAATTTCTGGGAGAGCCAGCAGAAGGCCTTAAAAGGAGCAAAGCTTGTTTTTTCACAGGTACTTGGAAAATTGACACTTCAGAGGCATCTCCGGTTACTTTAAGAGCTTAAAGTAGGTAAGAATAACATATAAGACCTGTTGTTAAAGATGCCTAGTTGCTCCATGTTGAAGGTTTAATGTTGAGCTTCCCATTTAAATTGCACTTTATTTTCTGTAGATAAACAAAATCTGAGGGAAATAATATGTATTAATATGTTAGTATTACATCTAAGGGAAACTCTATTCATCATTAGGTAGATAAAATGCTGGACTATGTAAATTGGAATAAGAAGGACAAATTTTAACTTTTCATACAGTTTTCCTACTCAGATACCTTCTTGAATAAAAAGACAACCAGTCATAAAAATTGTTCATATTTTAAATCTCTTACAGAGACTGTTACAAATTTGACTCATATGACTTTAGAATAGTTCCACTGACACTGGTGACAATTTGTCCTTTACTTAGCATTAAGTGTTTCTGCATTGAATTCCATCTGCTTGTCCTCAGACTTGGAGGACCAAAATTAGGTTATTTGAAACCAGAGTTAAGCACTCTTTCTTTACTATTTATTACTAAGATTATTTGGCTCGATTGTCAGAACAAGATTCTTTTTCCCAAACTGATAGACGATGGAAATGTGAGTGAAATTATTCTTTGATTCTGCTTCCTTGCTTTGCTGCTCAGGGTGTAAATCCACACAGAAAAAATATATTTGTTTAGTCTGTAAGGCTGTGAAACTGTAAAATGCAATGAAATCCTACACTAATTCTCATCTGGACAAAACCAAATCTGACGTGATCTATTGTGGGTAGTAGACTCAAGATTGGACTTGATGTCCTACAGACATGCCTTCTAACCAACATTTCTATTATTTCTATGATTCTGTGATTGAGAGCAAAGAATGAAAATCACTTAGCACCTCTCCTTTACTCCATTTGAGTTTTTCACCATCTGAACTGATTTTCTCCCATTGCTTAAATCTTAGATACCTCCTGCTCCTGTGTGAACAGCAGGCTCTTTGATCTGTAATGCTTAGGGGACAGACCCATTGAACCCTCTCACCATCTTTGCA